TCAGTGATTACATTTCGCGATCGTGTGCTGTTCTGGTGTTGTTTCATCAAAGCTTCGCATTTTTCACGCTGGTGAGTAAAGAGAAATTCTCTCAAGTTCTCCCCATATTTCCCTCTTTACTTTTAACATCATTAACTTATATGTTTTCAAAATCACAAAGGTACCGTTTGTTGAATATTTTCTGATGAAGTAATACTTTCATCTGAATTTCGTACTTACCGTTCACAACGATATTTTTTCAGAAGAAAATAATGCGAAAAGAGCAAACCAAAAGAAAATGAGACGATTCGAGATTATTTCATGAAAACATACTTTTTGTCTATACAGGGTGTTTCAGATTTGAATTTACATACATCGATGTGTCTACTATCTTTTTTAACTGTGATACAGAACGTACCTAATCTTGATTTTGGCAAAATGTTTATCTGGTCAGCTCATAACTTTTGAACATTGGTGTATAATCGATTCATACTCGATAGGTATATTCAACTTATATTTCTACTTTTCAACAGGGTGCATCCAATTTGACTTTTTTTTTTTCATCATTATTTTTCGAAATAGAATTTTTGTTGAACCCCTAATTCAGAGTCCAATTTTATCACAAAAAAATAACCAGTCCTCCAAGTTCAACTTCATTAGAGTCAAACTAGGTGAACTATCGATAGTTTTCATTCCATAGAATAATTGTTGATTAGACATTTTCAAGTGCTCGTTATATTTTCAGTATTTCAAAAAATAATGATAGTTTGAAAGTTATACATGAAATTCTTTTTTTTTAATCCTACTTTCAAGGTCAATATCTCCGAAACGAAGCGCGATATACTTTTTTTATATGAAGTACCAACATTATTTTGGCTCACTCTATCAGTCCTATCATTTACAACATCACCTTTCCGGACATCCTGTATAGTTCGCAAATTTTTCCTAAAACCATTTTTCACTCATTTGGGATTGAATCAAAGTTGCCAATAACATTTAGATAGCTGTGGACACAACAGAAATGCCATGGAAACAAAACAGGCATTTTTTGACATCTCTGTCGGTCTTTGAATTAAAGTGGGTTATTCAGCAGTGGGAAAAAAACGAAATAATATAATTGTTATATTATGAAGATATTGCGGAAACTTCGGTAATGCAGCAAGAATTTTGTCTAAATCGGATTTCTCTTCCAGATTAACAAGCAAACAGACAGAAAGCAAAGTGTTTGATACTTGCCACTCAGTCGGAGAAAACCATCCAGTCAAGACGAACCGAACAAAAGATCCGCAAAGAGAACTGACCAGAGTGAATTTTTCGAAATTCAGATCTCCTTATATTCGTACGGAAGTCGATATATTGATTTCCTGTCCAGATTCATTCTCAAGCAAACAGATAGACAGATATTCACCTTTATGTCTTTATGAAAACACGACAGGTACCCTTACGAGGGGAGAGTATCAACTCGGCGTTTATAAACCCTCTCTGCAAAGGAGGTAGACGCATGGTGGGTTAGGTATATACAGTGTTTGTCATTGCAGAGAAAATTGTTGTTTATCTGCCTGCCTCGTCTTCATTGAGATAGTTGATGAATTGATGAATAATTACAAAAATATATCGCATTTCAGTTACGAATGTTGAAAACAATATTCAGACTTTAGAGATTTATATTCTATGTGTCTCACGATTCAAATTTCAAATTGATGCTTAGTTTTAGATTCGAGCAGCACACTGTTTGGCATTCATGTTCGTTATTATAACCCACGAAATTTAAAATGTAGCAGATGTCTACTGGGGAAACCACTATCCGGAAGGAGAGCGAATATGTAGCAATCCAGTTACGGTTGATGGAAATATTATTCAGGTATGTTTCAGATTCAACATCAGTTTCAATTCTCATGGACTTACTGATATGTGATATTTAGTTGCAGATCCGAAAAGCAAAGTGTTTGAAACTTGGCAATAAATTGGAGAAAACCATCCAGTCAAGACGGACCGAATAGAAAATCCGCAGAGAACTGACCAGAGTATACTTTTCAGAATTCTGATCCTTATATTCGTAGGGAAGGCGATATATTGAATTCCTTTCCAGATTCTCAAGCAAACAGATAGACAGATATTCACCTTTATGTCTCCATGAAAACACGACAGGTACCCTTACGAGGGGAGAGTATCAACTCGGCGTTCATAAACCCTCTCTGCAAAGGAGGTATGTGGGTTAGGTATATACAGAGTTTTTCATTGCAGAGAAAACCGTTGTTTATCTGCCTACCTCGTCTGCATTGAGAGAGTTGATGAATTGATGAATAATCATAAAAATATATCGCGTTTTAGTTTCGAATGTTGAAAACAATAACCAGACTTCGTGGATTTATATTCTATGTACGTGTCACGATTCGAATTTCAAATTGATGCTTAGTTTTAGATTCGAGCAGCACACTGTTTGGCATTCATGTTCCTTATTATAACCCACGAAATTCAAAATGTAGCAGATGTCTACTGGGAAAACCACTTCGGAATGAGAGCGAATATATAGCAATCCAGTTACGGTTGTTGGAAATATTATTCAGGTATGTTTCAGATTCAACATCAGTTTTAATTCTCATGGACTTTCTGATATGTGATGTTTAGTTGCAGATCCGAAAAGCAAAGTGTTTGATACTTGTCAATAAATTGGAGAAAACCATCCAGTCAAGACGGACGGATATATTGTTCATTTGATTACATACAATAAAAAAGATCATAATAGAAAAATGTTAGTATAATTCAGTATATTTACTTTCCAAAGAGGGCCCTAAATTTTTGTGTGCCCAAGGGCCCCATGTCACTTTTGCTTGGATGGCAAAATATCTAATGGACAGTGGAATATGTATTGCTATAGGTATGGAATGACTAAACATAATATATGTTTGATCTGGACTCACCAGCAAAAATTCGGCCAGCAAAAAATTTTGCTGAACGGATCACCCTCTAACTTTTTTAATTCTTGTCCGATTCTGGTGAAACGACGTCCAAATCGTAGACTTATTTTTTGGAATATCAGCCTGAATTTAGGTTCTCAAGAAAAGCTGATGGCCTGATCATTATACAGGAAAAACAAAATTAACTCCTTCACCTTCAACCTCTTAACTTCATTTCAAGAAAAAAAGGTGTTTCAAGCAGATATTGATTTTTTTTTATTTTCATTTACAATAATTCAGAAGATAGAGAGCATTTTTAGGATGGTCTCCAGAGGCTGATTCATCTTTACCCGGCATTGCCAGAGACTCTTCCAGAGCTATGATTTGCCCATCAAAAAGAATTTGAGGCAATTCCTCAAGACTTGATTAAAATGCAGCTTATTATATGATGTGCCTATAGGAAATTAACTATCAACAAAAAATCAAGAACCAGTTCTATGTTAAACTCAAGATAATGCGATTTTTATCAATCTTTGACTATTTTCTAAGTATGTGGAGAAAGTGGGTGATTTCTTGAACTATACCCATTTTATGAGAAAACACTGTATAGGTAACTGAGAATTCTCTGTTTCCGAGATAGACTGATGAAGTTTCTTTAGGAAATTCCATCTTTTCGAAACATTTGAAAAATGGTTCTATAGGTTTCAGAGACATTTTCACAGTTTGTTCAATTTCAGATAGTTCATCCAGTAATGCTTGGGACTGTCCACCAATGATGACCTACTTAGACAAAAACTAGAATACTAGAAGTTTCTACTTAAAATGTTCTCAGCATGCTTTTTATTAAATGCACAGTCCATAATTTTTTTCATCTCTTAGAGCACACAAAAGGAAATTCCTATAATGTTTGTGAAAAAGTGTTTGTCTTCATATTTTCAGAAAGAAGAGCTAATTAGTTGATAGAAAAAATGAGCCATTGGTGTTTTTTCATCATATTTCTAGAATCAACTTTCAATAGATTAATACTCAACATAGACATAAATAATTGAAATTTTTCTCAATATGCTGTACTATGCCATATCCTGTTCAACTCAAAACATAACAATAGTGGAAAGTCATTATTAATATTATTAGAATGTTTCAAACAGTTTGGAGATAATAAGTCAGTACATCATAAAGTTCACCACTTCAGTGAACAGTGCATCATAAGTCAGTACATCATGAAGTTCATCACTTCAATAAAGTACCTACCTATTATATTCGCTTTTTCAGGTTGATATTGTTTTGCAAAAAGGATTTGATTAGATGTGCTAATCAATAACCATGAAATGTTTCATGTACAGGATGGCCTACTTCTCCTTTTTCATAGTATACTAACTTATGGACTAATAGTCTGGGGAAACTGTAGTCACAAAGAAAAAGTATTTGTAGTACAAAAGAAAGTAATATGGATCATGAGTTTTAGTAGCTATCTATCTCACTGTAGACCTCTTTTTAAAAAATTATCAATTCTTCCATTACCCTGTTGCTATATAATGGAGTGCCTTCTATTCATTCATAAAAAATGTTTAACAGATGGTGTTGTACAGCACAATCATATACATTCATACTCAACTAGAAACAGTGATGATATCTGCATACCATTCTGTAGAATTAAGAAAACACAAAATTCATATAGATATATCAGTGCTAAGCTCTATAATGCCCTACCACACAGCTATAAAGGTTCAACTCATTCAGTATTTAAGAAAAAAATACATGATATACTGATGTTACATTGTTTTTATTCAGTTGAGGAGTTTCTCCTCCACATGCCCTCCTGCACATGTGAGTTTGATGTTGATATTTGAACCATGGATTTATTCTCCTGTGTCATGTTTTACTTTACTTTTTTTATTTTATATTATTGTAGTGCCTGTAGTTTAGATTGTAAAGTGTATCTGTGACTAGTGTAAAATTCTTGTAATTTTATATAAAATAAATTATCATTATCATTATCATTGTCTCATAGCCAATGTCCAAAAGCCTTGATAATTTCATCAAACCACTTAGTTATAAAATTCATCAAACCACTTAGTTATAAAATCAAAAGTAGGTCAGTAGGAATATTAATAATAGACTTACAGTAAAAAAATTGGACACCACATGAGGATTGCCTGAAGCGATTGAAGTCAGAAAACAACTCCACCTTGACTGTGATATTCACTTCTCCTCTGATTCCGTGCATGGTATCATACACTGGTAGCCAGCCAGATATTTCATGATGTGTGGTACTGTCCCCATTGAAGCTGTAGGACATTAACTGTCCATCACCAGGCAACAATAAAGGATTCAAGTTCAAATAGACTTTGCCTATGGCATCATTAGCTGAATAAGTATCATGGTCCATCAGGCGAATTTGTAATGGTTCATCTTGAAGCTCAGAGTCCTCAACCTAGAATAGAAATTTTGATTTGAACATGTTTGCCTTGTATGCTGCAAGCATGACAAGCCTTACTTCAAAACGATACCAGTCTGTGTTCCATTGGGGATGCAGGGATTTCCTACAAACATCAGTTTTGAAAGTAGTACTTCCCAATTTTATTTCCACATAGGCATCCGTGGTATCGCTGGACCTATCCATTACAGGTAGATTTTTCCCAGATGAAATTTTAACTTTTACTTTTCCTGGCATTCTTGTGAGCTTCTAGTACCTTTGTTTATTTATTTATTTCCTGAAAGTGAGGTTAGGGATACTATGACAAATAAGAAATAAAATACTCACCACTTACAAGAATAGTTCATAGTAAAGTACATGCATCAGTAGTATTAGGAGTGATTGTTGAATCTTTTTCTTTCTATATTTTACGTATTCATCTATTTTTAGTATGGAAAAGAGCCATGAGCCATAAGAAATATTCCATATTTGCGATAGAAAATAAGCCTACGCCACCTATCGACCTATTCCATTATCGAAGTTCTAGAAAGCTGTCAAAGCGGCCTCTTTACTTTGTTGTCATTGAGTTGTTGCCGTCAGATGGGGCGATGTACTATTTTCTATCTAAAGCGGCTAGCGACACGGTTTTCACTTTGCTTTGAGACTTCCGCATGCGCATAACGTTGACCGCTCGGTGACTGTATGAACAGGTTTTGTACATATTCCCCGCGGTCTGAAGCGAATTGAGCATTTTGTTTTGAGACTTTTGAGTGCGCTAGTGTTTAAAGTTGACGACTATCGATTTGGACCGAATCTTCAACGCGCTCATGAAATCCGTTATATAACCTCAAATGAAAATTCATTTCTTGACCAACAAAAATCAGTCCATGCAAAAATGTAAAAAACGTTGGTGAATATTCCTCTCATAATCGACACAGTGATGACGATAGCGTTATCGAAATAATATTTCTTCGTCAAGTACTGATGATGAGGAAGCTGATGCAGCAGTTGTATAATATATAACCAAAGAGGAGTACTATTCTTTGATATAACGTCTTCGTTCAATACTATACATAATAAAGATTAATCGATGTCAATAACTCGAAAACTATGTGGGAAAAGTTGTCTCTGTATACCCAGTACTAAATATCATGACTTTTTTAGTTATCTACTAATACCATCCAGTGACTCCATTTTCCCCTGTCTACTTTTTCAAGTTCAAAGCAGTCCACCTCTGAACAGTAAGCACTCTGAGCGCGAGGAGTGAACGTAATCCATGACGTCATAATGACTCACGGTGAATATTTACAAGCGTTCAAAGCGTTAGTAATCTTCTTCTTCCTTGTTTCTTTAACGTCGGCCTTGTTCTGCTACTGAGGCTAATCACCGACGCCGGTGAGCACACTACCCCAAACCGGAAATTTTGTCGCATCCTCTGGTGTTCCAACCAGAGGTAGGGATCTTTAACGAGTCCAACATCTCCAACATCCATGGCCTCGGGACCGCCGGCTTAACGACCCCTCCGAAGGACGGCATATCCGTACCATATCTTGTGCTCATGGATATGGTAGCGGTAGCTATGATATATGCTATTTCGCTACCGATGTGCGGGCTTACGCGGCGTTTCCTCGAATGGTCCAAGTACTAACCGCGCTCGACATTGCTGCACTTCAGATATCGAACGTATTAAAGACTTTTATTGTTCGCACGAATTTCAATACAACAAAAATTTACAAGCACATTCCAGTAAGTAACATATTCTAGGGCTCACGGCTCTGTGATGAGTCCTCCACGTGGTGCAGAGGTGGCTGATGGTGTTGGCCAGGGAATGTGGGTGTATTTGTGAAGTGTTAGTCTCAGAGAGGCCTATCACCTGGGGCCAAGCCCCTTATATGGGTGATCTTGCTGAGGTTACCCAAGAGGGTGGGGGAGCTGATCAGTCGCTATCAGTGATGGGTGGTTTGTAGGGGGATGGAGGAAAATAAAATGGTTGAAAAAACAAAAACCTCTTGCTCAAGATATCGAACGGCTAGTGCCTTACCTGAGAAGCTAGGGCGATGCCCAGCGTTAGTAATCGCGGTTGTCACAAAAAAGTACGGTGGTACTACATTCCCAAAATAAGGTCATTTATGGTACAAAACAATAATTGCATATCCTTTTATGGACTCAGAAGCAATCAATGAATTCCACTAACGAGAGAGAGGAGAGAGATATCAGGCAACGTCAACGAGGAGGAGCAGCTTTCAGCAGATGGTTAGCGGTTAGGTCGTTGATTGATTTAGACCGTTCATTTTATATGTAGGTTAGGTGATCATATATTTGCCTTTGTTGCACATGCAGTCATATCGATGGTCCTTTCTCTTTGTATTGTAGAGATATTTTCAAAAATGTTTTAGTATTACTGACAGTGTCTTGTAAGCGTACAATCAATGGTCTTGGTCGCAACCCAACAAACTGTCACAGTTTCCTGTATGTTCAGGACTATTTTATAAAAAATCACAAGTCGGCTCCCCCTTGTGTGAATCTCAATGATATTGAGTGAACAGACCGCTTTGATAGCTTCCCAAAACCAGGCTAGGTGGCGTAAGCTCATTTTGTACAGAACACACGACATTCTTCCAAATAGTTCACCGTTAACCTAACTTTGTTGGATTGTTAGAAGATTAGTCACCAACTAGCTTCACAATTTCATCACCAGGTGGCGTCTAGATTGTTAACGTTCTACTTCCTATTTCCAATATACTTTATTGAAAGGGGAGTCGTTAATCTATGCTCAATTTTTTTCATGTTCTGGTTCCCACGAAAATGGATATCCTGTAATGTTCCAGAACCTCGCTGTTCGTTGGATGAACGAATCTTTGGAAAGAGATGTTCTGCAGGTCTCCAATAAAGTGACCATGAAGGGGTGAACAATTGTTGATATTTCAGAAGAGCATCGTTCATGGAAATATTCATAAAAGAGAGCCAGTTCGCCAACTTTTCTACGGTGTTCCAGAGAAGTGAGTGAGTTTGTGAGCGAGGCATCACTCACAAGACTATAATTGACCCTTTTTTGGACCGAATTCAACAGTTTTTGGGTATGTTTGGGTGTTGCACTCCAAATATGGGAACTGTATTCCAGGACAGGGCGGATCTGTGCCTTATGGATCATTATGTACTTAATAAATTCAATAAAGGACCCAAAACATGAAGTCTGCTTCCACTGCTCTTAGACTTATTTCAATAAAAAAATATTAAGTTCATTTCATGTATCATTTTATTTAGCTATCAAGAATGGAGAATATATTTTTTTGACAACAAACAATAAACACAGAAACAATAATATAGACTTATCAAAATAGGGCAAGACTCGATCAGAGCCATATTCAAACGGGAGCACCTGTATCGGCTGTATCATTAAAAAGACATCACAATCTTCCAAATATACCGTACTTATTGAAAATATGAAAACTTAATCACATAACTTAAATATAATTCATGATATACTTGTCGAATAGGAAGGCACTGCAATGGCTGACAATCTTTCATGGTGGGTAATACCGGGAAGTTTCATCCTAATTACCTACATAATTTTTGGCAAAAGCGATCAGCAGATTAATAATTATATCGTGCAATATATGGACATCGTAGTAGACGCTGTAACGGGGACCGACTTCAGTATTCAGTCTTCTTCATCAGCCTGTTCATTCCTAATGAAATGTCTGACGTCCGGTAAATTGTCCCAGAAATCGGCCTCCCATGCCGGAAAGAGGCTGGTGAATTCTTCAGGTTCTTCTCCTTGGTTGATAATTTTCACTGGCACGTCATCGCGTCCATGCTTCTTCAGAATGTTCTGAAATAATTAATAGAAAGGAAATTAAATCTATTCGAGGTGTTTACGAGATGCGACTCATAACTATAACGCTTCAAATTTTTTGAAGTTTAACAAAATGCAATAATTTATTTCTTGCGCTGAGAAATAACTTTTAGATATATACATTATATCTAAAACTAAACCTTCGAATCCATTGTTGGGAAATCATAGCATGAACAGATGCTATTTTTTTGAGGTTATTAATAAATTTATATTCATTTTGAAGACGCCAGATACTGCATGATGATCTAGTCATGCTATCGCCATCTTGTGGCGTTAGGTCTAAGGTAGTGCCTTGCCTTGCGACTACGTCATACTCTACGCCATCTATAGTCAACATGCGAGGAGCACGTCTATACATTACAGAGTGCTACTGCAAGTAGAATACTCTGCTGAAAGATGGCACCACCTGAATACTTGAATTGTTGAGTGGTAACCCATATTTATTTTGATTTAGTCACTCACGATGGCTGTGAAATTATAAACATCTCAGCTGTGATATGTAAACACCTCTGGAAGACGACAGACGATAACTTTTGAACGATTTCCAAACCTCATTGTCAGATTGGTCACAGTGAATCACGTGATACGTTATGGACGCATGCGCATTTGCTCGTAGAAAAACTTATTAACGAGAACGAGACCGTCGAGGTCTAGGGAGAAAGGAAAAACATACTTGAAAGCCTAAATAACTACACAGTGGGCATTTTATTTTTATACAAGATCTTAGTTTCACGTATTGACTGCCCATACCTGCTTGTGCGTATTAATTTGCACGTTCCTAGGCTACCTGTACGTAGTTTCACCTCGTTTCACCTGCCAGTCGCCCAAACAAATGTTCTTCTTTTTTCACCTCTGTATAAAATATGTCGTGATTACTTGTCAATTCAGAATAGAATTGATATTTTTTACTGCAAATCAATAGACATCAAAAGGGTTAGGTACTCCATATGTATTTTTTTTATTGTTGTCGTTTTAACACTGTTGGAAGCGCTGATGTGTATGATTTTTTTCCTCACCGAAGTTTTTTTCAGTTCGCCCAAATCGTTACGCAGTGTTATTCATTCAATTTTTCTATGCATATTTCCTTCTCTGTTTTGTTTTTTGATACAATTTGCATACAGATTTTGAACAAAACTTGTTATTTACCCATTCTGTAATACGCATCGGTTGTTGAATTGGTGTACCGCTAAAATAATAATAATAAAAAATATAATAATTGCAGAAAAATGTGTCCCTCGCCAAATTGAAATCGACATGTCCGAGTGATTTTCAAATTTTTTAACGACATCGAAGATTAGGGGGGTGACAAGTTTAAGGTAGGACACACTATATTGTATTCCCATATTAACTATTTGATGATACCTTTTTATTGTAAAAAAAAATGGACACCGAGTATGGTCAGGAAACCCTGTTTCGATAATGGCATGACGTGCGTTTACTGTCGTAAAATTCTTGAATTTCTAAGATGTTCATTATATTTTCCGGTGCTGCCCTCTGTGCAGTCATAAATTCGAATAATTCGAGATTTTCTTCGAGCGAATCATAGTGGAAGGAGAAGATGGTGTGCTCAACAGAAAGCTCAAACTCGTCTTGATCTGCGCATGACGTCAGCTGGGATATAACTGTCATTGTTATTATTTGTTTTCGTGATTGATGTCTCGAACTTCAGATATTATATGAGTACTGAAATTAATGAAATATTTTCGAAATGCCCACTTGTTTCGTTTCTGGTTATGGAAATTACAACCGACATACAAAAGGCACAGATATTGAATTTTTCTGCTTTTCCAAGAATGAAGACTTAATGAAACGATGGGAGCTATAGCTGCCGACAGAATATAAACTCAAATAATGGTACCTACCTTATATTCCTTCTATCCTCATTCCAAATTATTCACCTATCATATTATCATCACATTCATATTACAGCACGTATTTCTTCAAAACATTTCCATGCAAAATGTTACCAAACAACTGCGAAAGTACGGTTCTTGATTTACACACCTCCAAAAAATCACAAATATTTGAAACAAGATGCCATTCCTACAGAACATCTTCCGTCGAATATCAAGTCAGAAATAATTGAAAATGAATTCAAAAATCTCAATTTCTCACAAAATATAAATTGCAGCAAAGATTTGAATAACAAAACGGCAAAAATTGATACTCCCTGTTCTGTTGTCGATGTAGGAGCAGAAGCAACGTCAACGTCGTTTAGTGCTGAATTTTAATCTGTCAGAATCGACACAGTAGTGAATCATTCAGATGGGATTGGCAATGCATGATAATTCGTATGTATTTGCGATTGCAAATTACCTCAAGATCACAATTTCCAGAATCATTGTGTTGTTGAAAAAGCACAAGATATTTTAATTAATGAAGACCCTCATCATCCACCTATCAATATCTTCTGTTCTCTGAGAAATAATCTGAAGAAAAATCCAAATAAATCTTTCCAGGCGTCATTCCACAATTTCAGGAAAGCTAACTTTCCAAATCTTTATAATGACTTCAACGAGTATGACTGGTCTTTTTTGGAACAATATACAGAAGCAAATGTCGCTTGCAGTGCTTTTTATGATAGTGTGAACTCTATTGTGGAAAGGAATGTCCCAAAAAGGATCAAAACTACTCGTAGTTATCCACCTTGGTACAACTCAGCTGTAATCAGAGATATACGTCGAAACCATGAATTTTGGAAAAAATTCAGAAAATCTGGTGATGAAACGGATCTTGTTGAATTCAGAAGACTGAGGAGAGATATCAAGCTCAACATTGCAAAACTCCATCGTGATCACATTCGTTATATAGAAGAAAACATCACTACTAAGCCCTCTGTATTATGGAATTACATGAATTTCAGAAAAAGTAATGTAACCCCACCGTCTACCTTCAACTTCAACCAACAAATCCTATCTGAGTCTCAAGACATATCTAATGCCTTCGCTCAATTTTTTCAGCATTCTTATGCAACTCCCAAAATCAAAAATACCACTTTTGCTGATTCATTCAATAATATTCCTTCTTTGACGATACCTGAAGTGACTGAAGAGCAAGTATTAGTCTCATTAAAAAAACTTAAACCCAAATTAACTAGCGGACCTGACAACATCCCATCTTTCTTCTTGCGTGATTGCGCAGCTGCCTTCGTGAACCCGCTTCGCGTACGTTATTCAATTTATGTCTCTCAACTAATACTTTTCCTACACTATGGAAAGAATCGAAAATTATACCGGTCTATAAGAAGGGGCCTAAATCAGACATTTGCAACTACCGCCCTGTAGTAATTATTAATAATTTTTCAAAATCTTTTGAAATTCTTCTCTACGATGAAATCTATTCGCACGTTAGAAATCAAACTACCCCTAGTCAACATGGTTTCTTCAAAGGAAGGTCAACGGTCACAAATTTAGTTTGCATCACAGAGAAGTTATCTGATACCATTGATGATAGCTCTCAATGTGATGTAATTTACACGGATTTTTCGAAGGCATTCGATAGGCTGGACCATGGAACTCTACTTCACAAACTTTCGAACTATGGACTAACTCCAAATCTCACATCATTTTTTCAATCTTACCTTCTTGATAGAAAGCAGTATGTAAGCTTCCATGGTCATAGGTCTATTGAAGTCCTCGGGCCCTTATTATTCATAATGTTCATCAATGACATTGTAGATACTCTCACCATCAATCACCTATTGTATGCTGATGATCTTAAGATATACCATGAAATTTTCACCGAAGAGTGAAGTGAAGTGAAGTGAAATCGAAGGAATGGGTATACCTGTTTATATAAATTGAATTATGTCTAAACAGATCGAGAAACTCATAGAAATTTCAATGAACATGATTGAATTCATTGCATGCGCTCATGGCAACGGTATCTGTCTGTGAATAGCAGCTGCGATATTGGTATCCCAGATGACGTCACATAATATGCGCGTAGGCACACCATCTTCTCCTTCCACTATGGAGCGAATGCATGCGCATTCGCTCTAAAGGATATTGAATATAGTTTATACGAATCGGCTTCTATCATTGGGACACTAAGGACAATAGTGCGAACTCCGAGAATAGTTCTATCAACGGTTCTATACTTGTGAAATTACCTCTGCAAACCGAGGTCCTTTTTCTTTTTCTTCGCTAGAGGCCCCCTTTCCGACCCACACGAACACTTCCGAGTCCGCGTCCAGAACCATGATATCATCATCGGAAAGATCCTCCTGTTCGTAATGTAGGACTTCTTCGACTAGGAGTCTGTGCGACCTGGCACGTATCTGGCAGTGGTAGAGGCGACACGTGGCGCTGACGGAACGCAACAGGCGAGGGTGGGTCTCGCCGACAGCTTGCCAAGATCTGAAAAAAAAATGGTCAGCTTTATCGACGTCTCTGAGACCTGAGTGAAACAGAAAGTAGTATATATCGCTGCGGTATTGTTACGTTAGTGTAATTATCCATACGGAGAAAACAATCACTAACCCTTAGTGAATATTTAATAGTGGCAAGTAAAAACTTGTATACTATTTGGGACAAGGAAACAAGTTGATAACCACAAAGATATTTGTGATCTTGAAAATGTACACTTGCCACTATTAACCTGCTCCATTGATTTTCAGATTGAGAACCGTTAGTGAACACAGCACTTGTCAATAGTGACTCATTTACTCGTCATTAGTGACTTTTCCACTTGTCATTAGTGACATTTATTTGCGATCAGTGACTTATCCACTTGTCATTAATACCTTGTTCACTTGTCATTAGTGATCTAATCACATGTCTTAGTGACTTATATACTTGTCATCAGCTAGGTATTATAAAAAATTTCATATTTTGTTCTCTGAAAGATGCTAGCCGTGGTAAAAATGCGAAAACTCATGGAATTAAGACATTCATTGTATAGCTATGATGAATACAGAAATCACAAAAATGTAAGGCTTCGGGTAAGGCTGACGACAAATATTGAGACACTAGACACCGGGTATATCAGGATCATGCGCCGAGAAAAATGATACATCAGATGCAGTGGTACTACAATCTTTTTTCTTCAGTGATGAAGATGAGAAAATAAAATTTGAAATGACTTTCATACTCATTAAACGTAACTTTCTCCCACTTTGAGCATCATCGGAAGTGGAAAAGAATCCTGTATATGTCAACAATTATGTACTGTTCTGGGACAGTTATGTATTTCATTATCTTCTCCAGAAGAATAACAGATCAAGAACTCAACAACCCAACAGCTCCGAGCGCGGCACACAAACAGATAATCTTCACGAATATGATATAGCAGTTGTTTAGACGGCATTTGCATGACTTGGAATTTTAATTTCAATAAGCGGGATCGCATGTTTACTTCACAAATGCTGAAATTATATAATGAATCCGTGGACACTTGGACTGTGCATATGTTTTTATTAAGAGTTTGATGATGTTCCGTTGTCTGTGTTTTTCCAACAATTTTCTTTGTTTCAGTGCTTATCTTGCTGGACTCATACTAGTCGAATAAGGTTGTCACAACTGAAATTGTTCTAAAATTGTTCTATCAGTCATTCGGTTGTCCCCTTACGAGCAACCCTCAGAAGTCTTCGAGAGTCTTGTGCGAGCAAGGAATGACGGGGGCTTCACCTTTTAACGTGTGATCCCAATATACTTTCTTGGGCCATCAGAAACATTTCTGCAGTCGGTGGGAATTGAACCCACGACCGGCAAGCAAATGCGGATTAGAATATTTACACTCTGTCCGCACGGCTACCTAGCACCCCAATCGTCTTTGGATAAACTATACCTCATATCGCGCTGGTCGAATGGCTTCACACATTCACAACATTACCTGAAATACTGCGTGAACGCCGTCGGCTCAGCACCATGCACGATCCTCTGCACGTGCGTCCACTTGGGATACTTCTTCGAAGTCAGGAACTCGTCGGCCTTCCGCATAGCCTCCCCCTTCTCCCTTTCGTCGCACCTCTTCCCAATCCACACGTACAAATTAGCATCGGTGGTGTCCAAAATGAAACAGTCGTTCGGGTCCAACAAGGAGGCTTCGAGAGGCTTCTGGCCCACCGGAGTGATCTGGACGGCACCCGTGCTGTCGGACACCCGGTAGAGGGTCACGTGGCCCTCCTCGACGGTTTCGAAGTGCTGGTCGTCGTCGCCGGTCGATTTGTCTGGGACGGAGTCTCTGGAGCCCTCGCCCAGGGCTTCGAAGAAGTGGGTGTAGTCGCTCTCCGGACTGAATTCGTCTGGAAGATTTAACCAATCATTGGTTTGCCTTCCACACAGTCAATGTTGGTCTAATGTTCAATCAGGTATAGAGGTTGTTTCAGGTTTCAGAAATGGGCTAGTGGACTATTTATTTTTAATTTTTTAATCAGAATCATCAGTCAATTACCTTTCAAATACTTATTTTTTTGATTTTTTCGGTCGATTTTAACGTGCTAAAATCATCAATATTGCCACAGTAATTTTCAAAACAACTAAAAATTCACCGCGAATAAAAACTGACGTCACTATTTCGTGAGAAGGGGAAGACCGTAGCACAGTTGCCATGTTGAAATTCGAATGAGAACTTCAGAAATATCATGTATTTAATAATTCATAATTTCATGATAATGTATCAGTAATATTCTTAGTTGGCTATAAAAATTATTGCATTGTCTCAAAATTAACCCTCTTATATGTTGTCTTATTACTTATGCTAAATTTGTGTCAATAATAATAAGTTCACACTAGGGGACATTGGGTCCGGTAAAATTGGCAACACAGAACTGTGGGTGTTGTCTTGTCAGTTCTCAGCATTTAGCACAGCATTCTCAAGACTCTATACCCAATATTTACATGTTTTGTCATGGAGTATTAGAAATATCCACACATGCTGTTCGCTCAAGAAAGTCACGATTCATAACTATTATCATGACTTCCTCCTATAATATTACTTGAAATTGAATATTTCATTTGGCTGTAGTTTCATTCAACGATATGGGTTGAAACAACTTTCTAATAAATTCATAATTGGTGATCTGACAACCTTGCTTACCCTAATAGCACACAACGTCCTAGGGACGTCCCAATTTGGTATAATTCACGTCCAAATGTCCCGAACCAAAAATAAGTGTCCTTGGGACGTTCCATCCCGTACATCTCAAGCAATGTCCGAGCAAGGACGTCCACGGAATGTCCCAGCTGGTACATCATTTCAAATGTCCTAGAAATAGCATCCCTTAGACGTCCCACGTCCATGCAAGGACGTCCTTGGCATGTCCCTGATGGGATATGATTTTAAACGTTCCTTTAGGGACATCCATCGGATGTCCCGAGTAGTACATATTCTGGCATGACTTCAGATCTTATATAATGTCCCTTCTAGACAACCATGAAATGTCCCTGATGGTACATTCCTTCTAATATCTCTGCACAGACGCCATTGATATTTCCAGGATCGTATAACAATCGAAATGTCCCTTAGGGACATCCTTCGAATGTCCCTTAGGGATATCTGTCGGATGTCCCAATTGGTTTATAAACTGTACTCTTTCAATGTCCTAGAAATAACGTCCTATGGACGTCCCAGTCGGTACTTTCAATATGTTGTCCCTGCGAGGACGTTAACTTACACCTCGCCGACGAATGATTGCTCGTAGGCTATAAGTACTCCTCGTCAATGTCCTTCACGTTAGTCCATTGGACATCCTTGGGAAACTTTTTGGGGACCTTCTACGGACCATCAACTCAACTGGATGTCCTAATCAGTTATGCAAGATCTGGTCCTAGAGGGACCCAGGAAAATTCGAATTCAAGAATAATTCGTACGTCCCTGGGACATCTTATGGACATCCAATTGATATCCCTCAGAGTTGCTGATGGGTTGTCCTATGGATGTCTTAAGGATGTCCTCTGTAGTGCTTGATGAGGAATACTGTAGGATTTAGGTATTCGATAGTTGTCCCAGGGATATCCCTCAAGGACGTCCCTAGTTGGTCCTCAAGTGGGACATTTGTGCGTCCCACAGACGTCCAATGGACGTCCACGGTATCAAATTCGAACGTCCTATGGACGTCCTGAATGTCCCGACAGGACGTCCTAAGGATTAGGGTAATGAGTGGAAAAGGAAGATTATCTGACCAATAAAGAAGCAGCATGTCAACTGACGTCACCATAATATATCCGACGTAACCGAGAACATGGCCAAATGGCGGCCATACCGGCACGTTTTAAATGAGCTATGAAATTCAACAATTTCAAACAACGCATAATCACATTATTTACATAAAAAACGCGTAAGAAATGCTGCAATGATATATAACATAGCAAGAGTTGTAAAACGTGTATTACTCCAAAATTGCGTAATTGCTTTACAACTCGAAAAATGTTCTATACTTTATTTACGACTACACTATACTTCCTTCGGGATAGTGCAGGTAACAACAACAATAACAACAACGTAACATGAGGAAGGAAATATCCTTTCTGCATAAGAAAGAAGACTGCTATTTTTTCTAAACAATCTAACCTAACTCGGCCTAAATGAACCTTCTTCCTAGACAATATATTTTCCGAAAAACTACTTGAGAGAACAATGGGGGACTATTTTTTTAAACAACTTAGCCTAACTTGGCCTAAATGAACCTTCCTAAAGAGAATATTTTACGAAAAACTACTTGAGAACATAATGACAAATGTTGACCTTCGCTGGGATTGAATCCGACCTGCTGGCGTGGCAATCAGAATCGCAGTTCGCTGTACCATTCACTTGCCTGAAAATTATTTCTATGAAGAAATAATTGTCTCTCGCAGATATCGCGTATTGTCAGTGTCGTTATATGTATGCGCGAGAATTCAGACAGCGGTGCTGATGCTGTTCGGGTATTCTCGTTCCTGGACATTCCAAGACGGCGAGACTCTTGTGTTTTCAAGCTCAAATAGGTTACTAAATTCAAACATATATCTTACTGACACTGCAAATAATTCCTGAAGTAACTGGCAAGAAGCCATTAACTATTTAGGATCGACCAGTAGTGCACCTATGAGAGTACTGACGCAATCAGCTAACGCTAATGAAAAATCGTCTAGCATGCGGCAAGAACGTGGGAAAAGATATCAGGTGTGTCATGCGAGTATCACGCTCTTTCACACACGCAAGACGTTTTCTTCATGTTCCTCTTCACGCTTGCGAGCTCGTATATTGAACACCGAGATGGGTCGGCTGATTACTATTATCGTCATCAGTAGTCTGCTTACTGTGAGGTGTGATGAGGAATTTCCCAAGGAGACAATTGCTGAGGACGATGGTCCCAAAGCTAATAGATCGTCGAACTTATGTTACTCACCAACAATAGTGACTCTAGATTTCCCAGCATGGTCCTGATCTCTGATCTGGTTCGCAGCATTGATCGCCTTTAGCTTCTCGACCCTTCTGGCATTCGATCCTACGTACACGTAGATGTTCCTGCCAACATCCAAGATGAAACAGTCGCCGTTGTTCATGGACGCTATGCTCGGTACGACCTGTATCATATACGTAAGAATAATATATTATCAGAGTCTTCATATTCAGGTAAGTATTGATATATTTTTATGAACATAGACTATGTGATAATCAAGTACTTATAAGTATCATACTATATGTAATTAGTAGTTAAAAGGGCATTTCTTTCATTGGCTCTCTCGGTTCCTGATTATTTTTTTGCAGTTTCATCAAACAGCGTTAGATATGTTTCCCAATCATTTAGGAATCGTTTGTTCATTAGAGAATTGAGTCGCTGTAAAAGTTACTCTGAGTAGGCCAGACAACAACCCGTGCTCTGAATAAGTTTAGTGGAACGTGAGACTATTTGGCGGGACAATAAATAAGCCACGAAGAAGATAACGAAACACGCTGAAAGATGAGGACCGCTCAGTTTTGTATCGCAATACCGGGTGCTGAACAAAAGTTCTTAGATAATAAGTTCTTATTGGTAGGGGAACATCAAACGATGCATTATGAAATTGTAGTGTATATTTTGACACATGGAAGTACAATTGACTTATATCAGGGACCAAGAAATCTCCACTGAAAAAAACTTCTATATGCAACGCATATTTTAAATAATATTGTAATGATATTTCCCTCAGAGGGGCTCTAGAAACATCAGCAGGAAGGCAGGAGTACAACGATCATCCTGTAACACGCATCCCAGATTGTTCTCCAACCTCTCAATGATTCCTACATGCACCAGCATATTTCCGAACACTCAATATATGCCGCGGTGACATGTAACGTGTCATATAAGATTCTGGAATGTTCTGGAAACAATCGATGGAACAATTAGAGAGAGAGGCATTGTTCTAAGAAGCTTCAAGAACAAAAAGAAGGAGACGGAAGATCATTCGAGAACGTTCTCGAACCAAAGCCTACCAATGGATCTTATATATAAGACGGCCGAACAACTGCGTCAGTCAGTTAAGCAGCGAGTGTCAGAGAGACAGTTATATACCACTTGATATAAATCGTTTTACATAAATAGTAGTTATAAGTTCGGTATAAATTAGTGTTTCTTTAGTTTAAATAAATCAGTTCGAAAATAAATAGTGTCGTGTTCGCTTCTGCACCCGAATAACGTAACAATATTATTATTAATTAATTTTTAAAAAAAAAAATATTGATATTGCTAATTATATATCTACTACTCTATATATGAAGCATACCTGTCCTCAAAGCGGAACCAACTTTTACTCTATAGGTAACGAAATCGAACAATAGGCGTTGATGCCGACGTGAGCAAAAAAATAATACGAAACTTGTTAAACCAATATGGCTAAAAATTTCAAATTTTTATATTGGTTTTAGCGCGTATGTGATTGATTGTGATTGAAATTCGAATATTTGCGTTTTCAGTTGTACAATTCCTTAGTGTTTGTGTTTATTTTTCATAGACTGAACTTCTTTAACCATGTCTAGTGGAACGAAATGCAGTATTTGCGGAGAAAAGAATAGACAGGCCGGAATCCTCTTTCCATAAGTGAGTTTGAATTTTCAAATTTTATTGTTCATATATTGACCTGCACAAAGGTATACACTTATTTACATTATATTTTAGACTCCCAAAGAATCCTCGAACGAAGGAACTTATGGCTTCAATCATCAGCCTGACAATTTTTCTCATACATTATCAATGGAGTTATCAATCATCCAGCGACAAACATAATATAATGGAAATTTCCTTGAAGTAAACCAAGTTTGAATCAGTAAATGACAAGTAGTGTAGTGTAGTCCTATCACGCTAAACTGATTTGAGTAGATCACTTTCACCACATTGAAAAATAATACCCCTAATAACACACTTTGAAAAATGATAATACCTAGGTTAACCCTGACCTATATCAAGGATGGACAAAAGACTTATTCAATATTTAATACTGAGATATGAAGCAATGATGTTGGATTAAAGGGTGTGAGTTTCGAGATTCCACCGACCTGAATGAAATCATTATCGCAGTTCATTTCATTATGCAATGACTCTTTCCTATTTCTCAAAGTTACTAACATTATGCTTTGCTATATTTTAATCACATTATAACGGAATAAATCGAAGTTGGCAGTATTATACTGTGGTATTATCAACAATTGATGTTTTCAATATTTTATTATGATCAAATAATTATCTACGAACCTAACCTAACTCAATATCTGATCCTCACGTCAGCAGTTTCCATCCTTCAGTTTCCGTCCTTATAGATTCAAAAAGTACCTCTCATTTCGGTCCCATTTTTGTTGAGATATCGTTTAGGCGATGCGCCATATATAGAAATAGTAGGTATATGTTGCTAATGGTCGATACATTTGATAACAAGTGTGTACAAACCTGCTTGACCCGGATGTTCCTGGAACCTTTGACCTGGAACAGCCTCTTCTCGAACGCGTTAGGGTCGACGTGGTGGAAGCCGGAAGTGACTCCACCTGGCAAGTACCTGACCCCGCCGTGCTTGAAATGGGCGAGGAAGAGCTGTGACTCATGGTCCTGGACCTCGCGGTACTGGATGGGCTCCCCGTTCAGCTGGTTGTCCAGTTGGACGGACAGTATGGCCGCTGCGCCGGCTTCGTCCTAAAGTTAATCACTTTCAGGTTACTGGATATTGGATAGACATCGCAATCCGTTCGTAAATCGCGTAAAATAATACACCAAATATGATGAATGAGCTGGCAAATTCGGTGAGGACTGAAGATAATTTTTTGCGGAATCATGGTCAGAGAATCGATGACATATAATCGTGATAACCTGAATTCAATTTCCGACGTTCTCAAAATGGGCCAGGAAGAGGTGCAACTCGTGGTCCTGGACCTCGCGGTACTGAATGGGCTCCCCGTTCAGCTGGACATACTGTCCGTCCAGTTGGACGGACAGTATGGCCGCTGCCCGGCTTCGTCTTAGAGTTTATATCTTTTAGGCTACTGGATATTGGATAGACATTGCAATTCGTTTATAAATTGCGTAAAAGAATACACCAATTATCATGAATAAACTGGCGCATTCGGTGAGGACTGAAGATAACTTTTTCTTTGTTCTGGTTCCTACGAAAAGAGATAATGTTCAGAGGACATCGTGAGAACCAAGGGAAATGAGGTAGGCATTGGTGTTCTTGAATTTCTGGATGTTATATGCCTCGGGGAACAATTCCCTGGGCAATGTGTTCCAGAGCCTCGCTGTTCCTTGGATGAACGAGTCTTTGGAAAGAGATGTTCTGCAGGTCTGCAAAGTGACCACGAAGGGGTGCGAAGCCTCAACTCAACTCGACTGGTTAATCTCGCGGGGACTGCCAAGAGAGGAACAATTATCGATATTTCAGAAGAGCATCGTCCATGAAAATATTTATAAAATAGAGCCAGATCGCCAACTTTTCTAAGGTATTCCAGAGAAGTGAGTGAGTTAGTGAGCGAGGCATCACCCACGAGAAGAATTGACCTTTTTTAAACAGAATCGAACAGTTTCAAGGTATGTTTGGGTGCTGCACTCCAAATATGGAAACAGTATTCCAGGACAGGTCGGATCTATGCCTTATAGATCATAAGCAGCTGACTGGAAGTGAAATAGTTCCTGGCCCGAAACAGAAAACCAAGTTTTTGGGATGCACTTTCAGCAATTGTTCTCGCGTGATTTTCCTAAGAAAGGTTATTGCTGATAATAATATCAAGCATCGAAATGGATGTCTTCAAAGCTATGTTTACTCCTGACAAGCTTATGTTGGGCACAGTGAGATCGGCTTTTCTAGAGAAAAGGCATACAATCGTAATAACCTGAATTCAATTTCCGCCGTTCTAGAAATGGGTCAGGAAGAGCTGTTACTCGTGGTCATGGACCTCGTGGTCATGGACCTCGCGGTACTGGACGGGCTCTCCGTTCATCTAGTTGTCCAGTGGGACAAACAGTATGAGCTAATCTCTTTTAGGTTACTGGATATCGGATAGACATCGCAATCCGATCTTAAATCGCGTAAGAGAATACACCAATAATGAAGAATGAACTGGCAAATTCGATTAGGACTGAAGATAACTTTTTGCGGAATTATGGTCAGAGAATCGAGGGCATACTAGAGATGGGCCAGGAGAAGCTGTGACTCGTGGTCCTGGACCTCGCGGTACTGGATGGGCTCCCCGTTCAGCCGGTTATCCTAGAGTTGATCTATTTTTGGTTACTGGATATTGGATAGACATCGCAATTATTTCATAAATTCCGTTAAAGAATACACCAATTATGATGAATGAACTGGCGAATTAGCAGGTGAGGACTGAAGATAACTTTTTGCGGAATCATGGTCAGAGAATGGAGGGCATAGAACCGTAATAACCTTTGAGCAAGGAACCGAAGGAACTATTTCCGTAGTTCTTGAAATGGGCCAGGAAGAGCTGCGACTCGTGGTACTGGATGGACGTTCAAATGGCTGTCCAGTTGGATGGACATTTAAAGGAGCGCCTGAGATAATGTTTTTTTGTAAGTATTTTCTAAACCCTCTGTGATGAAATAACCAAATCTCGTATATGCACCTAACTTTTTATGACCAATTTGAGAATATTGAGAATTTTCCGAGACTTTGATCAGGGGCGTTGGAAATAGATAGGGGTTGTCCTTTCTTTCTCTCACCGTTCTTTATGCAATTTTCGGCAGTTTGAGCAGAAAATATGAAAATACCAACATTTTTACTCAAAAATATGTTACTCTGGTTAAGTTTCGATAGCACTTACCATTTTCGAGATAAATCAATTTTAAAAGTCTCAATAGGGTACCTACCATCTTATTTTTCAATTCATATTTCTTATTGCAACTCTCGTATGAATATGAGAAGTAGATGTTGAAAGAAGAGGTATTTTCCTTCAAACCAAAATTTTTGGGAAAATTCGATGTCCTATTTAATAAAAAGTCCTATGTTCCCAGACAGCACTGGATATTCCTAGAATATTCTCTAAATATACTAAAAGGGAAGAATATATTCCGAATATTCTTAGATTATATACGTGCCTCTGGAACATTCAAGGAATATTCAGATGTGAATATTCTAGTAATATTCCAAAATGAATATACAGGGAATATTCCAGAAGAAATATTCTGAAGTGAATATTCCTAAAATATTCCAGTTGGATAGTGCAGGGAATATTCAGGTATGAATATTCCAGGAATATTTCCAATTGAATATTCTGTTCCTGTATATTCATGGAATATTCCAATAATGTTCCCATGTGTTTCAATGAAATTGTAAAGTATGAAAATCAACCAATCACAATTTTATAGATGTGATTATTAAACATTGATTTTGAAAACTGTGGTAGAAGTCCATCGTATTTCAAAGTGAAGTGGTTATGTTACCAGGGATCAAAAACAAAAAGTCGTCTTCACAATTTTGATAGTGATCAAAGTACTCAATCAGATCATCGTACATGTTTAGAGCCCATATGGAACTGGAAGTGTTTATGGTTCCCTTCTGAACAACGCAATTCAATAAATTGTTATGTACATTATTATTCAACTCGATTACTAGCCAAGTGGTTAAGGCGTTGATCTGACAGTCTGAAAGTCCCGAGTTCGAGCCCATCTTGGGTCAGCTTTTTTTAATTATGAATATGTATTACAAAATATTCCCGGAATATTCATTTATTTATATTCCTGTATTATTCCAGGAATATTCCGAATATTATCTGAATATTCCTAGAATATTATAGGTACATTCTGAATATATAGGGAATATTCCTTGTGTAATATTCCAGGAATATACAAAATTTTCCCCACCAGCACATTCAGGGAATATTCCATACTTGATATGTATATCCCTGGCATGTTCATGAATATTCGCAATATCCAAAAAGAATATTCTATGAATATTCATGGAATATCTGGTGCTGTCTGGGTTCATTACGCAGCAGAAAATTTATATCGATTTATCTCGAAAATGGTGAATGCTATATCGAAATTAAACAAGAGTTCATTTTTAAGTGGAAATGTTGAGATTTGCATATTTCCTGGACAAACTGTGGAGAATTGCATGAACAAAGAAGTTGGGAGAAAAAGTGCCCCTAGTCGTCACATATTTCACACGCTCCTGATAAAAACTTTCCAGATTTCTTAACATTTTCAAATCGGACACAAGAAGTTAGGACATGTACGAAATTTGGTTATTTTATCACATAGGGATTTGGAAATATTCACATAAAACCATCAATACTTCTTTCACTATTTTTGTTCTTAGAATAAATCTGTGGTTGAAATCTTCCTATGTTATCGAAGAAAAAACAGTACACTCAACGTCGGTCGACCACAAAAAATTATATTAACAAATCATGTTTGTGACTAGTTTCGGCTCAACGGCCATCTTCAGACACATACAATACCTGTAAAGATTATGAAATTACAAATAGACAATGAACTATTGAGGAAACAAGATACCTAAGAAGACATGTTGGAGATAAGTTCAACTTAAAACTAGATCAAAAACAGGAAAATCAGGCAGGTAATTGAGTATATTGTTCTTTGAATCGGCCAAATAGCCAAAAGAAAAAATCAATAATGCAATCCAACATCGGTGAGAGTAGGAATTGAAATTTGAAATTATAATAATCAAAATTCACTCAACAAGCAAAGAATAGATAAAACATCAGAAAGTGCAGAGTGGCATGACAGGATGACATGACAAAATACATGACAGAATAACTGCGTGACAAGTGATACAGACCAAATGAAAGTACTGAATTGTATGACCTAACTAATATTGTACAATGAGAAATTATTGTAGCTAGAATAATTACAGAGGTGATGATGAAACTATTGCTGAGTGAATTTCGATTTATAATTTGAAATTCCAATTCCTACTCTTGCCGATGTTGAATTAGATTATCGATTTGTTCTTTTTGGCTATTTAGTCGATTCAAAGAACAATATACTTAATTACCTGCCTGATTTTCCGGTTTTGACCTAGTTTTTAGTTAAACTTATCTCCACATGTCTTCTTAGGCAACTTTTTTCCTCAATAGTGCATTGTCTATTCGTGATTTCATAATCTTTACAGGTATTTTATGTGTCTGAAGACGGCCGTTGAGCCGAAACTAGTCACAAACTTGATTTGTGAATATAATTTTTTGTGTTCGACCGACTTTGTGTTGTACTGTTTATTCTTTGAAAAAATGTTGGACCAATTTGAGGAGAATGGATAGTTTCCATGATTTTTTATGTATTTTGAGACACCCTGTATACACGAATTATGACTGATTATGATGAATAAACGACAGAGATTTGCAACTTATGAAAGGTGTTGTGCATATGATTTTAGTAGGCTGGGATATAGAGTGCTACTCCAAAGGTGGCATATGGAGTCAGTAACAAAGCCTCGTAAGATCGACACACATCAATGAAGTACATAATATATATTACATGATAACAACACAAACGTCAATTGATATTTCCTATTACGCGTTGTACTCATTATTTTCATTCAGTAGACCCTTATTTGAACAAGGAATAAAAAAACCTGAATTGAAAATCCTGTTTCATAAGACTCTCTGGCCAAAATAGGTATCAATAAAATTGTGTCAATTTCATAATTTTCTGATGTATGTTACCAG